CAGAATGCAGTGTTGTTTAGCAAAAGGTGCAAATTGCGAATCAGATAAACCAAAATCAAAGAAATGATGAAATTTAAATATCCGGGAATTGTTTTAACAGAGGATGGAAAATGTGGCACTGAAATCCGAAGGCTTATTGGGATAGCGAGAGATGCCTTTCAAAAGCTAAGCAGAGTATTAAGAAATAGAAAAGCTTCGTTCGAAACAAGGAAACGCGAACTGAAATGTTACGTTATATCTCTCCTTCTATGAGGCAGTGAGTGCTGGGCAATGTCCTCAAAGATGAAGAAGAGACCTGAAGCAACAGTAATGTGGTTCTACAGAAGGATACTGAGTATATTTACCCAGCCTGCCCACTGTTACTCTGGCATCGGTATTACAGCGATTCAACATATTTAGTGTGACGAGGAAGGTGTTGAGCAACTTCTTGCATCTAAAATGAGAAAAGTAGCTTAAACAACACAGTGTTTGATAGCAGACACAGAAAGGAAAATCCAAGAACTCCTACAGAAGGTAGTGAAGGAAAGCGAGAAAAAAGGACTAAGTGTCAACTGCAAGGAGACAAAATGGATGTTATTAGCAAAAGGTGCAAATTGCAAATTGGAAATACCAAAATCAAACAAGTACTGAAATTTAAATATCAAGGATGTGATTTAACAGAGGACAAAAAGAGTGACATTGAAATCCGAGGACGTGTTGGAATAGAGAAAGATGCCTTCCAAAAGCTAAGCAGATTATTAAGAGATAGGAAAAAACCCTCGCTAGAAACAAGGAAAAAAACTACTAAACTGTTCCGTGATATAGGTCCTCCTGTATGGCAGTGATTGATAAGCAATCTCCTCAGACATGAAGAGGAAACTTGAAGCAACAGAAATGTGGTTCTACAGAAGGATGCTGAGTATACCAAGAAGCGATTGTGTGAGCATCGACAAAGTTTTATATAAAATGGAAACAAAAAAAGAAACTAATAGTTAACTTCAGCAAGAGACAATTGAAGTTTCTGGAGCTCGTAATGAGGAAAGAGGGCTTGGAAAATTTGGTACTCACAGGACAGATTGAGGGAAAGACAGGCAGAGGAAAACAAAGCATAGTGAGCTTGAGAAAATGGATGTGGGGGAACAAGGTTTAGGAAAAATAATAGAAAGACTTTATTATGAGCTGCAAGAGACAGGAAGTTGTAGAGAGCCATGATCACCCACGCCCTGGGTGGACACAACACATATAGAAAAAGACTCTATCATTCCAGATATTTTTCTGACGTTTGCTTCCTTTTTTCTAATTTCTCATTCCGCTAAACAGCTAAGTGTAACAATGTCCATGGTCAATTGTTTACAAACGTACCCCACAAGCCACTAATAGTGAATTCGGACAACACTGGGTACCGTATACGTGTAGCCTTTTATCAAAACTAAGCTATGCTTATTAAAACAAGGACTTCAGCTTCGGGCAATGGTGACCGGTTCTGGACTAAACAGAAGGCAATTTCCGGCCATGTTTGTTACGGTCACTTTTATACAAATGCCCCGGAGACAAAAAGAAAAAGAAAAAAACGAGTGCATTTATTTTCTTTCTAGATATGTTCTAATTAGACTAACCGCGCTAGCCTTGGGAGGCTGCCAGTCTACGAGAAGAAAAGATTTACATTCAAATCTCCCCAAGCTATCAGTTATTAGGTTGGTGCAAAAATAATGACGTAATAATGTCGTTTTTTAATGTTAAAAAATACGTCAAAAACGACATTATTACGTCATTATTTTTGCACCAACCTAATACTTAGTAAGACTTGTATCAGTAAACCATCATTATCTAAAATATAAACAAAAGCAAAAACACATTCTTAGAATCTAAAAAATATTTTCTGGCTTTAAATAACCTGCAAAAAGTTGATAACCCGTAGAAAATGAATCAATCAATAAAATATTGATTATTTATACAGGCATTTATTTTAGATTTTAATTCAATTCTCTGGAATATAGATGTGTAAATAAAGATGCTACAAAGTGAGGGATCAGTTTATATAATGATTGTTATATAGAACTGACCCCCCCCATTTTATAGCTATGTAATTTCTTTATCATATTTTGATTAGGTATGCATTCATCTCTTCTTCACTTCCAGCTATGGCTTTATTAGTAAGACTTGTATCAGTAAACCATTATTATCTATTAAAAAAAATCATACAATCTAAAAGTATTTTCTGGCTTTAAATAACCTGCAAAGGGTTGATAAGTCGTAAAAAACGAGTCAATCAATTAATTCTAATTCAAAACCGCGGAGAAGGAAAGGTAAAACAAATCCAACTATATTTTTCAAAATTTTTTAATCAGTACGCTCTACACAAGGCGATAATGCCACTAAGATGCAGGGTGGGGGGTAATACTGAGTGTAAAAGAGAATGGATAGATACACTTTAGAAGGAATCGGAAACCCAACGCTAAACAAGGGATAAACCTTTATTTCTGTTCAAATCGTCATGGCATTTCATAGATAATAAAGAAAAGGAAGCTGTGGAGAGCCATGATTGTCTATGCTTCGAAATGACACTGCATGAAATAAAGATGAGCGAGTTAGTCTAGTCGTGAGTTCGATTCTCATTAAATTCCTCGTCTTGCCTTGTTTAATAAAATTTTCTCTTGTTTCGAGCAATAGATGACAAAAAATATCTTTGACTCTCACCAAAACCAACTCCCCCAATCAACCACAAAATTCTGTCCATTTTCAGAGGTTAAAGGTCGTCCTGGTTTTTCATTTATTTGGCTTTCTCATGTCTATTTTATCAAAAAATTACATTTCATGCGTCAAGCGTCAAGAAAACGACAATCTTGTAATCACTGACAGGCGTTTATTTCTTGAAGTTCCTATGAAATCGATTTTCTTATTACTCGAAATTACACTATTTACATTGTTCGGATTATCGTCCTCATCTTTGATGTCATATTTATCACAACGCTCCGGCCTTCTTAAGGTGGTTGGAATGTCAAACTAAACCCTTTATTTCGCTCACTGGGTTAGACTGTTCTAGTTCTACGTGCCATGTCTAATGGATGTCAATTATCAGTTATCTCCTGTTAATTCCCCACTCGAAGATCTCCACTGCCTTTACCGGGTATTGAACTCACAACTCTTTGGGTCCTGTCACTGGATCTAAGCAACACCTTTATCCACTGTGCTATGTGTCATCGAGGACACATGGCACAGTGGAATCCAGAAAAAATAATCCATGCGTTTTTTTTTTTTTTTTTGGTGTAAGAAATATTGTATGTTTGGGTCCATTTTTGTGGCTAGCTAAGTTTAAGACAGAAGAAGACCGTCCTTTTCCCCATTCCCCTTTTTGGCCTTGTGCCACATATTTAAAAATTACAAATAAATATTGCTCTTCACTTTGGTACCTGGACATCTTGAATTTAAGCTCAGTGCTGGACTGGAGACGAGATCTCATCAATTTAGAGTTGAACTGGTGAGATGCTAGCTAACAGTTTCTTTTCTCGCACTTCTCGCTTGTGGAACTCCCTTCCCGGCTCCATGATTTCCAGCCATCTTTAATCTGCAAAAATTTAAATTCAATGTCAATCGCTATCCACTGTCCTCCCGATTACTCTTCTATTGTTGCTGATTATTAGAAGATTCTGTTTAAACGACTTACATCGTTCGAACTGTTAAGAAAGAAAGAAAGAACGACATGAGAAAGAAAGAAAGAAAGAAAGAAAGAAAGAAAGAAAGAAAGAAAGAAGAAAATGTGAAATTAAAAAAATCTCAAGGGGAAACAAAAAGAAAAAAAATGAAAGATACGGAAAGAGTGAAAGAATATAAAAAGAAATAAGAAAGAAAAAAAAGAAAGAAACAAAAAAAACAAAAACAAAAGAAAGCTACAAAAAGATAACGATTGATATTGCATTTAAATTTTTAAAGATCAAAGTTTACAAGTACGCAAAAAACCAGAAGAGAGTTCTACAAGTAAGAAATGTGAGAGAAGAAACTGTTAGCATAGAAATTACGGTTTCATCTAGACATTTCAACTATAAAATGATGAGACCTTTCCGCCAATCCAGTACTGAACTTTAATTTATAAAGACTATGCACCATAGAGGAATATTCATCAGAACAATTACCATGAAAGGCACCGGGAAGCTACGTTACGGCTGTGAGAAAATGACTGATACCGAGATGTCAGATCAGGATCAATAACATTGCAGATTATTCTTTGGATTTTATCAAGAATCTCTAAAAATATAGAAGCAGCAGACCAGATGTGGCAGCAATATTCAAAGCAAGGACGAATGGCAGATTTATAAATATGTAAGATAGATTCTGGTGAGAAAATTGTCTAGCTCGACTCAGTAAACCAATTTAGCTGCAGACATTAGGAAATGATTCAATATAATATTTCCAATATTTTGTTATTTTCAGTTTAATTTTATTTTTCTTAAAAATCATAAAATTATAAAAATGTCTACTTTAAGAGGAAATATATTGCTATCTTCCGTTTAAAATATTTGTGCATAAAACTTTTACGTTTCAAGCTGCAAAATTATTCTTTTACTAACAATTCTTTAGCAGAAGTTTTGTCTACCACGAAACGTGTTTTCATTAATTTACATTTGACGGTGTTTTTGTTTTTGTAGGTGGAAGTCTGTGTATGAATGTGGGTAATTATATTTTTTGTGTCTAGTTAAATATGGTCATGAGAATATATTGATGTGCAACACATCGTAGCCTAGCGTGTATATTGATTACATGGGAGGTTTATTTGTTTTGTCACATTATCTGTGTAGGCAGTCTTACGAACTTAATGTGTCAATCTGATATCTGAATTCTCGTAACATCTCGTAAAATAATGCCTACAGCGAGATCTTGTTCAAAGCAAGCAAACATTGTGCTTTTTGTGCTGTACACGAATTCTATCTTCCTGACAATGATTCGCTGATGATAAATAACTCCCCACACCTGAATAGGATCTACGTAGAAGGCCCCAGGAAAATGGGAAATTAAAATTAAAAGAAATGCAACAAGTTTATGTTTTCATTTTTGTTTCTTCATCAAGAGTTCTTCTGTTTTAGTTACTCTTGTTTTTTTTGCTTTTTTTATCTTGTTTTTTTTCTTTTGTTTGTTTGTTTCTTTCTTTTTTCTTTCTTTTTTTTTTTTAAATATTTTTTGTTTTCCCGCATCTTTTATTTTTCTTCTTTTGTTTTTCCTTTAAGATTTTTTAAAAAATTTCACGTCTACTTCTTTCTTTCTTTCTTTCTTTCTTTCTTTCTTTCTTTCTTTCTTTCAGTCATTATTTTCTTTCTTGAAAGAAAGAAAGAAAGAAAGAAAGAAAGAAGGAAATTCTTTCTTTCTTTAATTTTTCTTTGCGTTTCTTTCTTTCTTTCATTCATTATTTTCTTTCTTTATTTCTTTCTTTTTGCCTTTCTTTCTTTCTTTTCCTTTAAGATTTTAAAAATTTAACGTCTACTTCTTTCTTCCTTTCTTTCATTCATTATTTTCTTTCTTTATTTCTTTCTTTTTGCCTTTCTTTCTTTCTTTTCCTTTAAGATTTTTTGAAAATTTAACGTCTACTTCTTTCTTTCTTTCTTTCAGTCATTATTTTCTTTCTTTCTTTCTTTCTTTCTTTCTTTCTTTCTTTTTTTCTTTAATTTTTCTTTGCGTTTCTTTCTTTCTTTCTTTCTTTCATTCATTATTTTCTTTTTTTGTTTCTTTCTTTTTGCCTTTCTTTCTTTCTTTTTTAAATTTATCCTTTGCGTTCTCTTTCTTTCTTTGCTTTTCTTTCTTTTATTTTTTGCGTTTCTTTTTTTCTTTCGTTCGTTCTTTCTTTATCAGCTAATTCTTTCTTTCTTTATTTCTTTAATCATTTTATTTAATTCTTCTCGTTTATTTCCTTCTCTTTTTCATTTTTCTTCGCGTTTCCTTCCTTCTTTCAAGTCGGTTCTTTCATTTTTCCTTCTTCTCGTTTCTTTTTTTCTCGATTATTTTCTTTTTTCTTCTTGTTTCTTTTCTCTCATTATCGTCTGTTCCTTTGGATTCTTTTCTTTCTTCATTTCTTCTCGTTTCTTTTCTTCTTTTTCATACATGTTTCCTTTTCTATTCTTTTTTTTAATTTGTTTGTTTCCTTCTGTTTTCCTTCCGTCTTTTCTGTCTTTTTTCCTTTGTTTCTTTCTCTTCTCTTTCTTTTCTTTTCCAGATTTTCCATTTACGTTTCTTTTCCACATTGATTCATTCTCGACAAAAGGCTTTGTCTTTTATTTCCCATCATTGTTGGAAGTCTTTACGAATCAATTCCTAGGGATTTTGGTAAATTTACGTCCTTTCATGTTTCATGTCAGATATATCAGTAAAGTGTCTCCTTAATGCCATCGGGTTGGGCTACGGCGATCCCAGCGTGCTGCATCGTTGGAGACTCTGAAAACCAAACCACGCATTGTCCCCAATCCTTGTGAGTGAAATTTGCAAGACGGAAGCTATCGATAATTGAGCTGGCTCAGACTCACAAGACATACTGGTCTAACTTTTGAGCGTATTGGACCTGCTAAAACATCTGATCGCACTAGATGATGCACTTTCTACCAGAAAGATTTTCTTGCACTTCTTGAATGTAGAAGTCCCTTCTGATTTTTTGCTTCCCTGTCAACTACAGACTTGAAACATTTAAATACTATCATCAATCAACACCCTCTGTGTTCCTGATCCCCCGACCTTTTCCTTACTGCTCTTCACTAAAGTCCTCTCATTCTCTATTCACCTGTATCTTAGTGGCTTGGCTTGAAAAAAAATATATCTATGATACGAACTTTTCGTGCAGAATCATCTACACTTTTTGAAGGGCCGAATACAGAGACCTGGTGCACTACGTGCCACAAGGTCTCCAAACAACCCTCTGCAGGTTTTGAATACTGAGTTATCCTTCTCCCAGACCAGTTGCCAACCCAGTTTGTCCTGCTATTTACCCATAGCTGGAGGGAAAAGAAAAGGATTCGCACCATTCCCAACGGTATTAGCACGTAAGCGAATACAATGGATTCGACTGGAATTCGAACTCGGCTCACCGATTCCTCAATCCAAGACGCTATCCATTACTCCACAGTGCCTCCATGTAACTTTTAGTCGCACTTCGAACATAGATATATGAATACTTATTAATATATCCTTCTTAGCTCTGTCTAACCACATTGAACACTGTTTTGTTTACACCTTAAATTAAGTAAATATTTATTCGCTTATCTGTGTATGCACGCTGGCGCACGTATTAGGTTGGTGCAAAAATAATGACGTAATAATGTCGTTTTGGGACGTATTTTTTAACGTCAAAAACGACATCATTACGTCATTATTTTTGCACCAACCTAATACGTGCGCCTAATATAGGTTTGCTAATATCTAATTATTTGGTGTATATCTACACTTATAACTATCTATCTATATACAGTGTAACCCGGATATAAGAGAGTTGTCGGGACCGGAGAAGAAGTCTCTTATATCCGGGTTTCTCTTATATCCGGGTTTGGTCTATTTTATATACATTAACACAGGCTCTAATTTGGGACCAGAGAAAATCTCTCTCTATATCCAGGTTTCTCTTATATCCGAGTCTCTTATATCTGAGTTACACTGTATATATATATCTACACACACACACACACACACACACACACACACACACACACACACACACATATATATATATATATATATATATATATATATATATATATATATATATTGGATACTCGTGATTTAGTAGACATCCCTGTTTCTTCAACAGCACAAATTTATATCGACCAGCTTGTGTATTCGAGAGTCTTAATAAAAAAAAAGTGCCTTCCAATATAGTTTGTCCAATGCAGGGTTCGAACAACGCAGGAAAAAACATCGTTAGGCCTTGTGAGCTTTTACACTCCCAACCTCAGAATATTTTTCCAGGAAAATTCTAATAACCCCGCTTAAAAAAAGGCACATTTCTTTTTCATATAGATATATTTTATATATTTCATATATCTATATATTTTCATATATATATATAACGTAAATCTTCCAATATTTTGTAGTACTAATAGAAAATGGCGATTTAAGAAAAATAATAGACAGTGATTGACAATATTTCGACAGTATGTTTATCTTAGTCAACCTATGTTTAAAAATTGCTTAATTGCATACAAAAATAAAAAATACAAGTTTTTGTAAAAATGTCGTTTGATTTGAGATACACGGTTGTACTGGGTATCACTTCGTCAAGGCGAATTAAAAGCAGCCAATGTGAAAGGAATGCAACTTAAACGTCAATAACATGACAGGACGTATGCTCATCTTCAAATTTCGGTTAGTTGGTTAGTTAGAGCAATTAATCAAATAGTTTCGTATAAATTTTATGGGATTCTCATGTCATTTTTCCCCCAGGGAGTGGTGTCAGTAATTTGCATATATAATTATCTTCATGCGTTTTAAGGGTTGAAAGGTCGAGGGAATCATTTAAAATAAAAATATATTTGTTAAAGAATACGATAAAATAAGTAAATATAATGCTTTTGAATTCGAGATTGAAAATAAATGTAGCACTTTAACATTACTGAATAGAATAAAAAGAGACCCACAGGCACATTAATTAGATCCCTGGAGACCCGGGTTTATAAGAGATTACACTGTGTTAAACGGATTATATACACAGGGACGTACTATGAATATATAGACAATAAAAGCACTACATTTGAAATATCACTCAATGAAACGCGAATAAAGTCTAGTAGTATCTCATAGCTTCAGAAGACCGCGTTGCCTTGTACTACAAATATTTTGTGAAAGGCACTATGTCTTTCAGGTCGTATGACTACATGGCGAATATTCATAAGGCAAGTTATCCGGTTGATAACGTTAACTGTGCAATGAAGTTAATAATAATAATTATTATTAAAAATAATAATAATAATAATAATAATAATAATTACATATATAATAATAATTATAATTACATATACAGCTAACGCATTACGAAGAACATTAACTATGTAAATTATGTGTGATCTTAGGTTCGAAAAAAATTCAGTGGAAAATCTAATGATGCCAGTTTTGGCCTTAGGTCTCTGGTTGGAACCCGGAAGGAAATGGGTGTACAACAAAAATCAAAGGAAATAATAATAATAATAATAATAATAATAATAATAATAATAATAATAATAATGTGGTGCAATAAGTTTTAGATGTGAAGTTGACAGAAGTCTTTGAATGAAGTTCTTTAAAAATCGAAAATATTTTCGAAACAATGATTATCTTTAGATGCATATCTGAAATAAGTTTTGGAGTAAATGTCTCAAAAAAAAAAATCGGAAAATATTGTAGATACACCCTGATAACTGAAATAATTTATTACACTTGACGTGAGAATTAAAAAATTGTTGGAAAATGATTTATGGTCAACTCAACAGGAGCAAACAGCTACGAAATTCAAATTTTAATGCCAGCTTACTAAATATTTATCATTTTTTTTTTTTTTTTAATACAAAGTAATATATTTTCCTTCTGGGGAGGGATGGGTTCCGTCAGGTTAAAATGCCCAAGACACGCTACATGATGACTAAGAAAGAATTCTCGGGGATCCAGGCTGTGGCACTAGTCCGTGACAGATGGAGGAGTATGGTGGACAACTGAGCAATTCGGCACTCCATTGATTCCTTCAGTGATTAAGGGTGAAAGAAAAAAAAAAGACTATTTTCCTCCATAGCACGTTTCCGTGTTCTTGCTTCAAACGTATTCACATTATAATTTTTTTCTCAACTCTACAAGAGGGCGCTGACTCACTTTTCAAAATCTGACCCAGCAAGAATCTATTTTCCTTTAAGGGGTTTCTTGGTCGAACCGAGAACTTTTCAGTTTTTCATCGTATGATTACATCAAAAACTGCAACGTCATATGCAGACTTTGCCAGATATGTGTACGCTTATGTGTATCTGTGCCTGTGTATGTGTGAATTTGGTCCTGCCTAAAATACGCATGCGTATACACTATATAGTTTAGTGCGCATGCTCATATATTTAGTAACCTGACTGCGTAATTATTTGTTAGTATATTACAAGACATATTTTTAAAAAAAAGTGAATATTATTTTTAATTACAAAATTACTGCTTTCGTATTGTTCTTATGCACACGTAGAGCTTGACATCTTTTAAAATAGACAGATAGTTTGCACAGACAGAGGTAGCTAGACCAATAGATAGGTAGATAGATTTGTTTTGTTCATTTGAAAATGCGGAGGTTTATTGTTTGTGGCTGTTGCCCCAACTGTTTTATGAATTAATGTTTATAGGTAAGCCGATCTATAATAGGGAAAGACACAGACGAACAGAATATTACCCGATGTTAGTGCGAAAATCTGAAACGAAATAAATTCGTCAATAAATTTTCATCTCCGAGAAAGAATCGTAAGTAGTACCTGAATCTATGACACAGTGATCTATCAGTAATTCCATCTATCGCTAAAGAGTCCCAGGAAATGGTTGGCTCCCTGTGCCATTCCAAAAATTACCTGTCTCCTTTCGGCCATGCTCTACCTTTGCAAGAGATACATCAGATCAAAGATGGAATATTGCAGCCAAATCTGGGTCGGAGCTGCCAAATTTTCACTTTAAAAGCTCGATCGAGAACAAAAGCATCGACACGGCCTTGTAGATGATGAACTTTCCAAATTTTTACCACTCTCCCAGAGACGAAACATTACTAGCCTCTTGCTATTCCACCGCCAATTTCACCACAGATGATTGGGCGAGCTAAATTCCTTGGTTTCACTGGTGTAGCTAGGGCCTGCCATGTCACAT